ACAACTCTTATTTGACAAGTTTGTAGAAACCTCTGTCCAGAATCAGAGCACACATTTTTTTTTAAAGAATCTATGTTTATCAACAGAATATAGACTATTCTGTAGCACAAAACTGTCTCAATAAATATAAAATTCAAATCATACAGGTCATATTTTCTATAAAAATGATGTACATTTTAATTACATCTGTAATAGCATGTAATTAAGTTAGTAATCAATAATCAGGGCTGGAGAGATGGGTTCATGAACTGAGCATTTGCTTTGCATGTTGAAGGCTTATTTCTGAACCCTGACACTGCTCGATCCCCTGAATACCTCCGAGTGACCCCTGAGCACAAATCATGGTGTTGCCACCAAACAAATCAGTAAACAGATGATACCCAGAAAATTTCTAAGTACAAAGTTTGGAAACAAAAAGATATACTTTCAAATAGCCCACTGATCAAAGAAAAATACTTATTTTTAAAGGTTTTTTGGGGGTCTGGAGCAACAGTTCAGCGATTGATTGCTTGCCTTGCATGTAGCTGACCCATGTTCTGTCTTTGGCATTCTAAATGGTCCCCTAAGGTCCATGAGAAGTGCTGAGCCAGGATAAGTTCTGAGCACAGCTGAGTGTGGTCCCAAAACAAACCAAAAAATGCACAAACATAGCAAGGGGTATTTAAGGATCACTTCATGCCTATTAAATTGACAATTTAGATAAAAATAGGAGCTGGAGAGATAGTACAAAGGGTAAGGCGCTTGCCTTGCATGCAGCTGACCCAGGTTCTAGTCCCAGCATCCCATATGGTCCTTTGAGCACTGCCTGGAGTAATTCTTGAGTAGAGAGCCAGGAGTGAACCCTGAGTATTTGCTAGATGTGAACCAAAGATCAAAGTAAATAAATAAAGCTCTGTTCAAAGCAATTTATTTAAAACAAAATAGTATTTGAAAGACACTACTGTAGATGGAATGGCTTCATGGATATTCTCCCTTATTAAAATTTAATTAAAGTTAAGAGTTTAAGGATTATTTTAATTTCCCTCTCCTGGTTGGTGCTGCCCTTGTGATGCTTGGGGTTTGCACACATACCTGGCTGTGGTACTTGCCCTTTTTAGCTTTCATGCTCTCCAGGGACTACCCATCTGGAGGCAATGCCTGCATACTGGGATGTGGTGTTCATTGAGTTCAGCACACTAATTTTAATTGCAGTGCTTGCACAGTGTGCTCCAAGACATTTAGACTTGTAGTGAGGCACACAGTTTTGGTGTGCTACTTGCTTGGTTTGTTGTGGTCATAAGCTGTATGTAGTCCTTGCCAAGAGCCTTGCCTCTTTGTGCTGCTAACACATTTGTTTTTGGTGTGACTGAAATCCTCTGTCCTGGCAATCATAGACTGCCAGCAGAGTTCTCAGGCTGGTTCTCTGTGCATATGATATATTGGGGTTTGAACATGTGACCATATGCTTGCTATGTAGGTACTCTAAGCCTCTGGACTGTTCCTTTAAGCCTTAAATTTTACTTTTTTTTAAAATTGTAATAGGACCACTCCCTTGAAGTATATGAGGTGTATTCCCTGGAGAGCCTTGTGGTGCCAAGGATCAAATCCAGGCCTTGCAAATGCAAGGCTTGTGTGGTCTGCTACTTGAGTCATGTTCCTGGCTCTTCCTTCCCCTGTTCTTCGGTTGAAACCTAACTAATGTGATGGACTAGCTCTTACCAGTGTGAATCTGCCAATGCCTTTGTCTTGAACTTTCCAGTCTCGGTGAAAAAAGAATTTCTGTTGTTGATAAGCCAGCCAGTCTAGTCTATTACAGCAACTTGAATGGACTACAACATAATCTACAAATGTTTACTTAAGAAGAAATTGGTAACCTGAATAGCTCTGCACGTTTGTACTTAAAAACTTACCCATCATTCATGATAAGCTTCGTAACTGCATCTCACTTTGATTAAAATAAAATAAAAATAAAATAGTGAGCCATTGATGTAGCTCAGCAGTAGAGCACTGCTGTGTGAGGTCTTTAGGTTCAGTACCAGCCACTGTAAAATTTTTTTTTAATAAAAACATCATAGAGTTGGGAATGTAAAAACAACTTACCCATCAGGATTAGGGAGATGGCACAGGGTGCAGCATTGCAGTCCTGGTCAGATTCCTAGCATCACATGCTCCCCAAGGTTTTGTCTGTTGTAGCCCTAGATGCAGAGCTGTATGTAGTCCTGCTAGTCCCCAGCAGCTCCAGGGTCTGAGAGGCGTTGTGTTCTCAGGACTTAGCTTTGAGTCATGCTAAGTATATCCAGGAATAGTCAGTGCATCCCCTGAGCACTGCTCTGGATGTTCCGCCCCGCACCCCAAAGCAATTCCCCTATTAAGAATACCATGCCCGGTGAATTATATTGTACTTTTCAGGACATAATGCCATTTCAAGATACAATACCAATTACAGACTTTCAGAGAATTGGAAAGAAAGTTGTTTCCAATTTTGTGAGTCTAACATTATCTTGATGACTAAGCTAGATAAACTGTACTGTAAGAGAACTATAGCATAATATTCTTCATTAACCTATATTGAAGCAATTTTAGGAAGTGGAATTTAAAAACATATGAGAAAAATAAAAGTTCAAGTCATGTTTACTTCAGGAAGTCAGGGTTGGTTAATCACTTGGGTGTTGATCTATATTTTCATTATCTTGAGTATAATAATGATTTCACTAGCATATATATTTGTGAAGACTAACCAAATGTGTACATTTTATTGTATGTAAACTACACCTCAATAAAGTTGGTTGTTTAAAGCACATAAACCTAGACTTGGATTTATGGTGGTATGGGGAAATCTGGGCATAGGTAAATTTGATCTTTGGTACTGCGAAACGAAACAAACATTAAGTTCATGGTAATATTTAAACATCAGAAGATTAATTTTATTTTATTGAATTTAAAGATACTAGGAGCCTTGGGGCCGGAGACATAGCTTAATAGGCCTAGTGCATGCTTTACATGCAGGAGTCTTGGATTTGATCTCTGCCACTATATGGTCTTTTGAGCACTGATGGGAATAACCCCTGAGTATAAACCCAGAAGTAGCCCTTGAACAGTGCTAGGTGTGGCACCCCCCCCCATGCAATAAAAGATAATAGAAATAACAGAAGTCTTGACTCGTGTTACGTTCTCTCTCTCTCTCTCTCTCTCTCTCTCTCTCTCTCTCTCTCTCTCTCAGCACCTAAGTTTTTTTTATTTGTTTTTGGGAGCCACTCCCTTCGATGCTCAGGGGTTCCTGATTCTGCATTCAGGAATCACTCCTGGTATTGTTTAGGAAACCATATGGAATCAAACCCAGGTCATCCATGTGCAAGGCAAACACATTATCTGCTGTATTACACTCCGGCCCCAGCACCTAAGTCTCTCACTGAGTATTTTATATAACTGTGTTCTTTGGTTATAGTTTTTAATGTTTCACCTGGCATTTACATATGAAATTTTTATTTAATGAAGTGAGTTTGATTGAAATAAATTAGATAGACGTGAGAGGAGAGGAAGGGAAATATGTGCTCAAGATGTTCAAGAGAGAACGTGAACTTCTCCAGTGTAGAAAAAGCCATATATGAAATATTTAATGATTCCCCAATTTATGTATTTTACACGGTATTTACATAAGGTCTCTTAAGATGCGGACTACTAAATTCACTGTTTAAGACATTGATTTAGTTATATTGCTATTCTATTTATTAACTTCGTGGTGCTAGGTATTGAACTCAGGTCTTGTGAGACATGCATATGACTGGGGTGCCACATCCATGACCTTCCTTTATTTTTTATTTATTTTTTAATTTTTATTAGTGAGACACCATGAGGTACAGTTGTAGACTTACAAATTTTTGTGCTTGGGTTTCAGTTATACAATGATCCAGTACCCATCCCTCCACCAGTGCCCATTTTCCACCACCACGGGTCCCAGTATCCTTCCCACCCCCCATTCACCCTGCCTCTGTGGCAGGGCATTCCCTTTTGTTCTCTCTCTCCTTTTGGGTGTTGTGGTTTTCAAAAGTTTATTCTTTTGTGTAAGAACTTGACTAATTCAGTACATACTCTATTAGTTTAAATCTGAAACTTAGAGCTGGAGTGATGGTACAGTAGTTAGGGCATTTGCCTTGCACGCGACCAATCCGGGTTCATTCCCCGGCACCCCATATGGTACCTCGAGCAGTGCCAGGAGTAATTCCTGAGTGCCGAGCCAGAAGTAACCCCTGAGCATTGCTGGGTATGACCCCCCCCCAAAAAAATCTGAAACTGAGTTCTAGGAATTTTCTAACTTAAAAGAAAATGATTTTTTTCAGTGGTTTTAAATATTAGTCACTAAGTGTTTTTTGCAGAAAGAGAAACATCAAAGCCTACCTCTTACAGTATGATTGTTAGTGCCAATCTTAGACAGACGAATAGATCCTATTCATCTTATGAATGAATTGGTGCTATAAACTTGTACTTTGTGTGGGAGTTTGGGTCACACCTAGTAATACTCAGAGATTGCTCCTGTTTCTTTGTACTCAGGGGTTTACTTCTGGTAGTGCTCACATGATCATATGTGGGTCTGAACTTTGAACTGGGGTCAGCTGCAGGCAAGGCAAGGACCTTACCTCTGTACTGTCTGGACCCCTGAATTTCTATTTTGTAGGAGGTAAAAGTTGACAAGTTTGGAGCTGTAAAGCTAGTACAGCGGGTAGAGCATTTGCTTTGCATGTGGCTGAACTACGTTCCATCCCTGGCATCCCATATGGTCTCCCAAACACCGACAGGAATAATCCCTGAGCATCACTTGGTATGGCCTGCAAAAAAAAAAAAAAAAAAAAAAGGACAGGATTGGTAGCAAAGCAGGCTTTTCTACAGAATGATAGTTTGGTTGTGAGTCCACTGACTGGAAAGTATGCTGTTTTGATACTGCTTACTCCAGGTGTATTTTAATACTAGTAAATCAGGATAAATTGATGTCCTACTTAATTGATGTCTTTTCTCCTTCCTTTTAGGAACTATTATAGCAGCCATGATAGAAGACAAAGGGCCAAGAGTGACCGACTACTTTGTTGTGGCAGGTCTCACTGATACATCTACTCTTTTGGATCAAGAGATAAATCGTTTAGATACTAAGTCAACTGGACCTAAAGCTCCAATTACAGATATTGCAGTTATTATCAAATCAGCTGGGGAAACAGTCCCTGAAGGTTATACCTGTGTTGAAGCCACTCCATCAGCTCTTCAAGCAAACTTGAACTATGGAAGTCTGAAAAGCCCAGAACTTTTCCTGTGTTATAAGAGAGGGAGAGATAAACCACCCCTTACTGACATTGGGTATGTTACTTACTTTATTTTGCAGTACTGATGAAAATAACATTTATTTAAGGTGTATAGGTAATTTTCAATGGAAAACTGAAGTCCTTGGTAGTTTTACCTGTTGCTTTAGGATGTTATGTGTATCTTTGTTTACCCTTACTAAATTCTCTGCATTGTACTTGAATCATTAGGTTTCCTTTTTTTTTTTTTTTTGCTTTTTGGGCCACACCCAGCAATGCTCAGGGTTTACTCCTGGCTTTGCACTCAGGAATTACTCCTGGCCGTGCTCAGGGGACCATATGGGATGCTGGGGATCAAACCCAGGTCAGGCCACGTGCAAGGCAAATGCCCTACCCGCTTGTGCTATCACTCCAGCCCCAGGTTTTCTTTTTCTTTAGGATTCCCTCATCTTCATGTTCTGTATACACTTAAGTGAGATCATCCTGTGTTTATTTTTCTTCTTCTGCCTTCATTTAACTTGGTATTTCAGCTCTGTCCTTGTTTCTTCATGACTTCTTTAAATCTAATACCCTTTGACCTGAATTTCTACCCAAAGTTCCTTAAATACTTTTTTTTTTTTTTTTTTTTTGCTTTTTGGGTCACACTCGGTGATGCACAGGGGTTACTCCTGGCTTTGCACTTAGGAATTACCCCTGGCAATGCTCAGGGAACCATATGGGATGCTGGGAATTGAACCCAGGTCGGCTGTGTGCAAGGCAAATGGCCTCCCTGCTGTGCTATTGTTCCAGCCCCCCTTAAATACTTTTTATTATTAATCTGACCCTCATATGATATAGAATTATATGAAAATAGAAATATTTTTGTTGTTGCTTTTGGGCCACACCTGGCAAGGCATATGGCTTACTCCTATCACTGTGTAGGACTTAGGGGGGTGCTGGAGATTGAATCATGGTTCACTGCGTACAAGGCACATGCCCTATGTACGGTAGTATCACTTAGGTCCATGAGCTTCTTTTTTTTCTTTTTTTAAGATGAAAATCAATGTCATAACAGATTTTTTCAGATTGTACCAGGAAATTAATGTACCTTGATCATTTATTTTCTAGGTCAATAATAAAAGATGTTAGGGTTTTTCTCTTTTACTTATAAGTATAGTTAATACATGATTTTGAGAATAATTGTTAATTAGCATACCACTGTGTTCTAATACCATTCTAAAAGAAATGGATTCTTACAAGACCAAAATAATCCACAGGCCTTCAAGTCGGTATGCTCCACTTTGGCTCAGATAAGGCTGGGTTGGAGAGATAATACGTACAAGGGTTAGGCTTATGCCTTATAGGCAGCTAACCCTGGTTCCAGCAACATGGCATCCTCCAGCTCATATACTGAACTGCCAGCCCACCTGACTGAGAATTATTAGGACCCTTGAACCTCCCAAACAAAACAAAACCAAGTAAGGCAAATACCATGAATTTGTAGTTTGTAATGTACAAAAGCTGTCGTTGGTAATGTATCACATTTAGAATCCAGGAGCTATGAATTAAATTAACTAAACAATCTGATAATATGACAAGCTGGGCTTACAACATCAAAATTGTTTTTTTCTTGATAATTTCAGGTTCCACATTGTTTCTAGTCTCTTCGTAGTGTGAGTGTCATCACAAAACAGGCACTTTTTGAACTTTCAATGATGGCAGCACAATTTTCTTTCTCAGTTCCTTCATGTTACATGACAATATTTTGAGGCCATCTCTCTGGATAGATAGGATGATCTAAAGGATGTTCACAAATTGGTTGTAATGACTGTTCTTATAAAATCTTTTGTAAGCTAAAAAAAAAAAACAACACCTTTTGTAAGTTAAAAAAGCTGTCCAGTGGCTTTGTTTCATTCTGCTTCATGGGCTGGAAGTCAGACTCTGGCACCTTCACCAGGGCATGTATACACTGAACTTCAGCTCAGTTTTATGATTTATTTACTTGTAATGAAAGTATTTAAAAAGTTTTTTGGTTTGGCGGCCATATCTGACTGCTCAGGGCTTGCACATTTTAGTTGTGATGCTCTCGCATGCTTGGTTACAGTGTGTGGGGGATTGCACTTTTTTGTGTGGGGCTAGGGATCACAGCAGAAGTGCTGGCCATCTCCCTGGGTATGTGAGGCGATGCTTGGCAAGGCAGGTACTCTGCCACTGAGCCACTTACCCAGGTATTGATAGGTGTTTGGTGTTTTTGTTTTGTTGTGTTTTGTTTGGGGTCACACTTGGCAGTAACCCCTGCCAGCTGTGCTCCGGGCACCAATGCGGTGCTAGGAACTGAAAGCAGACCTCCTGTATGTAAAATGTGCTCTGGCCTTTGGAACTATCTGCCTATTATATCATATTTATTTATGATAATAAATATCATAGTTATTTAGATATTAAGAAAAGGAATCAGCTGCTGTATTTGAACATTGCCTGATTTACCTATCTATTCTACTGTTTCACTCTTGCGAAACTGGCCTGAAGGTGTTTATTACGTTTGTTTCTAAAACCCTGCCTGGACCTGACTTTTATCTTGCACCTGTTTAGCATTGTCTGCCCTATTTAGCTTTTTGTTTGTTTGATTGCTTTAAGGGGTTTGGGCCACACTGGCAATGCTCAGGGGTTACTCCTGGTTCTGCACTCAAAAAAAAAACCTGGTGATGCTTCGAACCATATGGGGTCGAACCCAGGCTGCTGCGTGCAGGGCACTGGCTGTACTCTCTCTGGCCCCTATTATTTTTTAGACCATACTCAGAGGTCCTGTGTGGGGGACAGTGGGAAGAGAGGGCCTACTCTCCACAGATAGCTCTTGGTGTTATTCTAGGAATTGTTTGTTGCTGAGACTCAGTCCTTAGCCTCTCTGCACAAGGACTCAAAAAGTGTGCACTTCACCCGTTGGGCAATTTCCTCTTCTCCTCCTCCCCCGCACCCTTAATTAGGACTATAATTTTACAACCTGATAGTTATTTGGTACCGTGTCAGATTAGAAGTTTTAGTAATTGATTAGAAGTTGGAGTAATAGAGGTTTCTTTTCAAAAGTTTGATTTTAATGGAGTAATTTAATTAATAGTTTAATAGCTTAATGGACAAGATTAATGGATAGCTGTGGGACTTGGCTGTTCAAAGTGTAGTTCATGGACCAGTTTTGCACATAGGGTCTAAAAGGATATTAGAAATTCAGAATCTGCAGCTGGAGCGATAGTACGGCAGGTGGGGTGCTTGCCTTGTACGTGGCGATGCAGGTTTCCCATCCCTGGCACCTCATACTGTCCCCTGAGCCTGCCAGGAGTAATCCCTGAGCTCAGAGCCTGGAGTAAGCCCTGAGCATTGTTGGGTATGACCCCAAAACAGAACTAAATGAGAAATTCAGAATCTAAGGTACTGCACAGATTTTACTGAATTACAATCTATATTTAACAGAATCCTTAGGAGATATGAAGGATGCCTGAGTTGTGATAGGGAGTTGGTGGAAGAGAAAGGGATACAATGATGAGGGTGGGGTTTTTTTTTTAAGCTCTTTTTTCAGGTGATAATTCAGCATCATTATATTGAAGGAGAAAAATAAATGTGCAGAAAGATTGAAAATAATGGGAATAAGAGGAAAATATTTGATAGAATAAAATTATGAAATGGAGTACTAATAACAGTATATGTATATTTTAATTATAAGTTTATATCAGTTCTTTAAGGTCAGACTTAATATTAAAGACATTTTTAAGAATTCACTTTGAATTGTATCATTTTTTCTTACACAAAAAAAATCTTGATTGCAAAATCACAAATCACTTGATCACTTGATACCCCCTTACTCGTTGATTTACTCAAGCGGGTTCCAGTAGCATCTCCATTCATCCCTGTTGCGTGCTAGTGTAGCCCAATGGCATCTGCTCGTTCTAGGAACATGCAGAGCCTCAAACCGATCATTCAGGGTCTTGACGAAGAAGTCTGACCATTTTGTAGGTGGGCGTCCACGTGATCTTTTGACGTCCCATGGAATCCAGTCAGTAATGGCTCTAGTCCAGCAGTTGTCTCTAAACCTCATTATGTGTCCAGCCCATCTGATTTTTGATGCCTTGGCAATGAGACAGCATCCCTGATTCTTGAGCGTTGATGGAGATCGGAACTCCGGATTCTATCTCTCATTTGAGTGAAGCGTGATACTCCAAGCATAGCTCTTTCGATTCCTCTTTGAGAGACCCCAATAGCGTTCTCATCCTGTTTTCATAGGGCCCAAGTCTCTGAGGTATATGTTAATGCAGGAAGAACAGTGGAATCGAAGAGATATGCTCGGAGCTGGAGGTTCTTTGTCCTCTTAGTAATTTCTTCAACACTCTTGAAGGCATTCCAAGCTGCTCTCTTCTTCCTGCTTAACTCAGGTGCCAGGTCATTCATCATGTTGATTTCTTGACCTAGGTATATATAACTGTTGCATTCGGAGATGGTGGTTCCGTTGAGAGTGAATGGAACATCAGGAGCAAGACTGTTTCTCATGAACATTGTCTTTGTGAGATTCAGTTGTAGTCCTACCTTTCCACACTCACTGTCGAAGTCGGTCAGCATTTGTGCCACTTGGCTGATGTTTGGTCTTATTAGAACGATGTCATCAGCAAAGCGGAGGTGGTGTAGTTGCGGACCATCTATCTTCACTCCCATTCCTTCCCATTCCAGTTGTCGCATGATGTTCTCGAGGGTGGCACTGAAGAGTTTTGGTGAAATGGTATCACCCTGCCGAACCCCTCTCTTGACATGGATGATTACTTCTTTGTAGAATGGTGAGATCCTGGTAGTGAATCCGCAATACAGCTCACGGAAGATCCTGATGTATTGAGTTTGTACTCCCTGATTGGCTAGGGCTTCTATGACCGCTTCCATCTCAACAGAATCAAAGGCCTTCTTTAAATCAATGAACGTTAGACAAAGCGGCATCTTCGGCATCTTGAACTCCTGAGAAACCTCAGTGTGCTTGGTTATCGTGTAGATATGGTCGATGATGCTGAATCCTTTTCGGAACCGGCTTGTTCGCATGAATGTCCTTCA